GCCTTATGAAATTCCTTAGATTATATAACATTAATTAATTTGTAAATAAATATAATTAAACCGCGGCAGAAAAAGACGTTTTTATTCCTATTTACAAGGAATACACAGAGCTCTGTTGTTTACCGCGATTAATAGGCTATGCAGAAATACACAACTTAAGATTAAAGCAAAATCATGCTGAATTATTTATTAAATTCTACAGCCTGTAAAAATAGTGTAAAATAGATTTCAAATTTCCTCTACAGCTTTCAACGATTATGATGCAATTTACAAGTGGAGTAATAAAAACTGTTAATGTCTCACATTAGCACATTCGGAACTTCGGTTCAAATGGATGGGTTAACTTATTCAAATTTCAAACTGCAATTATTAAAACCCTCTGAATAGCGAGGATTTGGGGATCTGTCATAAAGGCTGTATGTAAACAGTACTTATTAGCTAAATTTGTGTAATTACTTATTATGGTCTCTGTTTTCATAATGTTGTATTCATTAAGACGGCATTTACATTATTAAGGAAGGTTAAAAAAAATATATCTTAAATTATAAGGGACAAATTGTAACAAATGACAAAAGTTAGTTATACCAAGTGACAAAGTTAGTTATACACTAAGTGATAAAAAAAAATCTCACGATGGGATAAAGCTGGTCATGCTGCTCAGAGAGTTAAAGAACCTAATAGCTACAAGTCAAATTGTCCGCTTTTATCATTTGATATTTATTTATAAATCCCCTAACAGGAGAAACAGATACAAAAATTTCTAGAAACTCAAAAGTGGTCAGTCCGATCTGCTCCCAATTGTTTAGCTACTCATTCGTATCCCCGCAGATACTGATTCAGTATCGAAGTTTTCCAACCGCTTTATTTTCGACCACGATATTTTGTACCACGTCGTTTTACAGCTGCGATGTTTCTCTTTGCTTTCTTTTCTCCCACGATGTTTTGTACTACGACATTTTATCTTTGCGTTGTTTTCTCCGCGGCGTTTCCGTCCACGATATTTTTGCCGCGATGTTTTCAGCGGACACCGTGATTTCCGCTGTCTGGTTATACAACAGCGGCGAGAAACGAGGCAAGTGAACTGAAAACAAGGTGTAACAAAGTGCAATATAATTACTCAAGCACTTTCAATAGTAAGGCATGAATTGTGCAGCTACGTACGCTTTGAGAGGCGAAGTAACCAATGCAACTGATTAAAATGATCGTCGTATGAAACATTGTGTTCATTCTTGAACCTAAGAATCATCTTTCAGATTCTCGTATTTCTTGTGGTCATACACTGTTCTTCATTTTTTTTTTCTTTTTATTAAACTACATTTCTTCATTTTCACTAGTTTTTTAGAGAATAAGGCATAATTTCATGCATGCGAGAATAAGAAAATATTCTGTAATCTAAAATGTACTTTACATTATATTGTTTAGTAATACAGTATGTAATATAATATGCAATATAGTTTCTTATTACCTTACTTAATGCTGATAATATCTTACAATGCTAACAATTGATCAATTAAACTTGAACGTATTAATGAATGTTAAACACATAGCCTATTTTATATAAAAGTTGCTGTTATGAGCAATAATCCTTGGAAAGAGCAAAGCATTTGCTATACATCTCGATGCGCTCTGCGTCCTTTTTAAACCTGCATACTTCTGAAACAGGATTATATTAGAACGAATTGGTACAGAACTTAAAGCAATTTAGTGATACTACCTGTATTACCGGAGGGGGGAGATAGAAGGTTCTCTTTGGTTGCATATACAAAGTGCAATACAGTTCAGTTACTTATTCTAGCGAATCAAAGTTTTAAATTACCGAAAGATTTATGTACTGCCTTTTATCAAGTGCTTTTGCTAGTTGTAAAAATCATTTCTAATACTGTTCGGGGGGGAAACATTTTTGGTTAAAAAATTTCGAAGAAAATGATAGTGTTTTCCGATTTATTTTATGCAAATAAAGTGTATGTAGTATATATTTTTTCTGTACAAATGTGCAGGATAGTTAAGACATTTATGGTGAGAACGTACATCGATTAATCTTCGCTCGATGAATTAACCAAAATCTGATAAATTGATTAGAAGTAATCCAAAATGTTCAATATTTCTTTGCTACTACAATGGATTGATATTTTGCAATCTTTTTTGTTTTATATCAAATTCCAAGGTGTCGCTTCTTAAAAGATGAATCGCTTCCATATATTCAAGGTATTTTTAGCGTTCAGCCAATACTTCGGCTAAAAAGTATTTTAGTACTCGTGGCAGAACGATTCGATCAAGCTCGGCGGTTGGTGAAGTCAATAAGTTTAGTGTTGCGTGCAATAATGGCGGAAGCTATCTAACCTTTAACTCCACGCAAGACCTGTTTTCGTCGTTACGTTCTCGTTTTGGAGTTTGAAGTATTTGAAGTAAAAACAAAATGAACTAAAATAATAAATGGAAATTATTGAGTGTTGTACAGGCATTTTTATGTAGTGTGTAGAACTGATAGATTGATAAGCAGATATTCATTATCCCTTTTCCAGTATATCTGAATTTCACTATGCAGACTTATCTACCTCCTCTCCCCGCAATAAATAAATTACTTCAACATAATTTTACATGTTAATTTATGACTATACATTATTGGAGTAAACGCTAATAGAAATTTTGAATAACTGATATACTTCTCATTATTTCTTGTTAAAGCAGGAGATGTGATGAAAAATGCTCCCTCACCGGGACTCGAACCCTGGACCACTCGAATACGCATCGAGTGTGCTTCCACTTACACCTCGAAGGCATGTGGAAAGGACAAAGAAAATATCTTATGTAGTTACAAAACGAAACGCAAGCAAAAGGGATAAAAGAAGAAACGAGGAAATTGAATTGTTTCACACTTAAATCGAAGCCTTAAGAAGTCAACGATCCATTCAATATGTGTAATTCTAATTAATACTTGAGATAGTCATCAAAAATTTTAAAAATGTTTAAAAGTACACTGTCCTTATTTTTTATTGTTGTAAATTGTTATATAATGTTCTAAATAATATTATGGCTACTACTCTCCTTGTATAATGGAAGCAGGTCAAACTGAGATGTCAAAAATTGACTTTTGAGAAAGAGTTAATGAGAATATTCTCTAAATATGAATAATCCCAAGCAGAAATAGATGCAATAAATGATAAAACAGAAAACGAAGGAGGAAGCAAATCACAACTAAATCTCATTAATAAACGTTAAGCACGTAAGAAATAGAAACTTTTGAATAAACAGTGCGTGAAAGGTGTTAAGAAGAAGAGAAAAAAAGGTTAATTTGTGCATAGAGTAATAAAATGTCCTAATGAAAGTTGTTAAAACTGATTTCATCAGTAATGGACCCAAAAATATATCAAGCATCTTTCAAAATTGCTGATGTATAACATATCTGGTTGACGAAAAACACGCTTTGTCTCGGTTTGACTTAATTTTGAGAAAAATCTTCTTATGTCGTATTCGGAAAAACAATTGCTAGATATGTATTAGAGAACATAACTACCTCTCTTTTAGCATAATGTAATACATTAATTTAAAAATCTGGAAATTTATTTAAATGAAAACGGTAAAAACTGCAAATCCGTGGTTTTGTGTTATGTGAAATGGAAATATAACAAACCAAGCTATTCTGCCTTCAAGTAAATAATAAATGGCAATTAAAACATCTTTTTATAATTTTGCAAATGTTCATAAAAGTTTTCAGTTGGATAGTTTGCACATCCAGTATTTTAGAAAGTAAACAAATTAAATTATTAAAAATAATTTTAAGAGTATGTTTATTGTTTGAAGTCTATTAAACAATCACAAACCGACTAAATTTGATGATTAAATTAAAGATCTTACGTTCTTTCGAATGGCAAAACTGAGAAACTGCATATTCTTGAACCCGGGTTTAAGATTTTCAGTCTCGTACATTAGCCTTAACTCTATTTACATGGAGGCATAAAATGACAAACAGAAATATGGTCATGCAAAGTCACGTATCGTAATTAAGAAAAGCCTAAATATTTTGAAAAGACACCACTAAGGAGATTTCTAATTGGTGCAGATTTTCACAGCTTTGATAGAAGATTTTTTTCTACTGATGAACTACTCAGGTCCATTACCATAGCAATTTGGGAAACTTATGTCTATATCCCAGCACACATTTCTCGACTTTAGCACACATTTATTCAATGGGGATATACACTCGGAGGTCTAAATCTTGTATCATATTTGAATGACTCTTTATGCAGTCTAGATGGTCTATCCAGAATGACGCTTTATCAACTGTAGTCCACCTTCCGACGGTGGCATAGGAATGTGCTAGATTACCACTGAACTATGCGTTCCTGGTTATTTGCTGGTATGATGTCTTCGTTTCCAAGAATTCAATCGCCAAACCCTGTTTCGTATTTTCCGTATTAAAAAAAGACATCACTGACTGACAACAGCCTTTGGAAAATCAAATAATAAGATCTCCTATGTGTGTTTCCCTTTCATTTTTCTTAAACAAGGATGTAATCTTTTCATCATCCCACAAGTATTGCATCATAATTTGAATTTATTAAGCGGCACTCGTAATATTAAAATAAATAAATAATCTAGAAAATTGTTTTGAAAATATGCAAGGTGTTCGTATGAAAAGTACCTCAAAAAGAGGTAACACAAGAGGCAATCAAGCCAGTTTATTTATCAAGCCAGTTTACGAACATCATTTACATTAAACTAACGCATTTTCGAGAAATAAATATTTTCTGAAAAAAGCGATAGACGACATCATTGCATGAATGAAAGTTATATATTTGCCATTATTCACTTAAAATCTAAAAACAAAATCATGAATATTAAATATAATATATGGGATTTGTAATTTTCGGAACATTTTGCTCGTAAAAATTAGTTTTCCTCTGAATTAAGAACTGAACGTCTGTATCATAACATGTTCTTCAAATGCAATTGAATACTGAATCATATTTTATTTCACTTCCTTTTTTTTTCTCTTGCAGATTCCTATCCACAAGCTCAAGAGAGCGCACAAATCCAGGCCTTAGAGGTAAGTCAAACGCAATTGCTGATTTTTTATTTCGCTTTTCTTTTCTTTATTTCAGTTATTAAATTCCACTTTAGACGAAATATAGAGCTATATGACACGGTGATGCCATCTTTAATATTAGAAGTACTCAAATGGAAACATCAAATATGCATGTTGATAACAAAACAAAATTCCTTCCATTATTGATACAAATACGCTGTTGTACCTCATACACTACTGTAAATTAATATTTTAAAATCTTATATTCAGGATTCGATTTCAAGAAATTTCACAAATAAAAAGAAGACATTTTCTTCGTAAAATAATGCTGCCTTTGGAAGTGTATGTATTACTTAAACTAATCGTAATGAAGGAAAAGAAATTATATTTCTTTCTCTGCTTTCGAATTACAAAATTGTTTTCCTTTTTTCCTGCCGAAACACATAATCTCATTAAGTTACATCTGTCAGTTTCTCAGTTCTTATATTTACTGTATTCGAACAAATTTCAGACAATCCTACTTTTTTGAAGACACTGTATCAAGAAATACGTATTTAAATTAACTATATACATAGCTGACTATTGTGAAAACACCACTTCGATGGCTGTAGAATACCGCACGCATGAGAATAACGTCTCTATACCGCGTTATATTCATATTCTTATTAGAAGTTTTGGAACATTACACATATAAAGAAAATTTAAGATTTCCTACGTGATTTTCCTTTATTTATCGAAAATAATTTCAATACAATTAAAAGCAGTTCAGTGTTTGCGTTATTGTATTTAAAGTAATTAAAAAAACTGTGTACGGCGGAAGATCATATTTGAAAGCAATGTACTATTTGCGAGACTGAAGGCATTATCATAAGCATAGTATGGCATTTCGTTCAGGTATGCTCAAATACAAACTTTTCCAAAATTCAATGAAGAGGAAGTGGCTTCAAAATTATTAGACAGAACATCCTGTAGTTAATTATATACTGCTACGAATTTTGTATGTATGCAAATAATTCCCGTGAAATCCTTTGTAAAATTGTAGTATCTGTAGTAAAATATAACATTACAGGCCTCAAGAGTGTGAAGCTTCTCCGGAAAAATAAAGTTACAAGAACAAGTCCATATAACATTGAGGTAAATGGCTATTTCGCCAGATTCGCGAGATAATTCCAATCTAGTGATGGTTTTCGCGGTTAAGATTTGTTGCCAAATTAGACGAGAAATGGCCAGAAGTTACTGAACTTGGAGACTATTTGGAGACATTTTGTCCGATCTTTATGTAATTGTAATTGTATCCTGCACTAATGTAACTATAGTTCCTGCCTATTTCGATAAGTCGAAGATACTGGAAATTTCTCGGCGGCTGGGGGAAACCTGTGTGAGATTGGAGAGAGTATAAGGTTTCAGTTTAGTTCAGAGTGCCGAGAGTATTGAGAGATCACTACACGAGTTTACGCACTGAGGCTTTGTATAATGTCTTGTGTTTAACGTTCTTAGTAGTTTGAAGGGGTAACTACTGTTTGTGCTCTGACATACGGGCAGAACTTGCTTTTGTGAAAATTTCCAGACCTGTAAGGTGCTTCTTTTGAGAAATTTTATCGAGCTATTACCGGCTCTGTGTGCGTTCAATCCGCTACGAACTAGTACGCACGTAAGAATAGGATGGAAATGGCTTAAAGAATAGCATTTCCAAGAAAAAATCGTTCTCTTATATTAGAATGAATATTGTATGTTTAAAAAAAAACTACTGTTTTAAAAGCATTTTTTGTGGAAGCGTAACTTTTGTTTTTATTTAAAGGTAGAAAATGATAATATTGACATATCTTCTTGCATTTTATGTACCAGCTAACTTTCTAAAGTTTTGTTTTTGATTGGCCACGCGATTTCTTGTAAGTATTTTCAAACTTCTGTAAATCTCGAAAATTGTTTTAATATGTTTATTTATATAATACTAATATAAGCGAGTCGTCGCAGTTTAAACCTTCTCAATCTTCAAGGATTTACTTTATATACGTTAAATGTGTTGAAGGTAAGGGTAACAACAAAGGTAAATAATGAGTCTAAACTTTGAGATAAAACTGACAAGTTTTTTTCTTTTATCATAAAAAATAATTGATCATAATTTAATTAAGAGCATGTAAGTGTTGACTCAATAGATTATATCTATGCAGAAAACATGAAAAATGTCCTATGCTATTCCCGGGATTCGAACTCCGGGCCTCGCAGTTACGCATCGACCGTGCTTCCAGTTTCACTACGAAGGCAAACGGAGAGCAGGGAGAAAATACCTTACATAATAAATTATCTTAACATACTTTCGAAATATTAGGCTGTGTAGTGTATACACGACGAATATGGCTTTCAGAAAAGCATTTTGAAGAGAAAATGTCGTGCTATGTCCTAACAAATATGATAAGTTTTAAAAAATCACAACTTTTGGGGGGAAAGGAGAGGTGGGTAGAAGCGCTTCCAAACTAATGAAAAATTCTTCAAAAATGGTTTGCAACGTCATCCTGACGATGGCGCAAAACTTAAATACCCCCGGAAGCACAACGAATTTAATTCAATGAAGCTAAATTAAGTAATAAAGCGTATGGAAAAACCTAAAACATCATTAACATCACCGTGTTTTCCGAAGAGTAGAGTTGCAACTTAGTCTAACAAAGTCTAATTCTTCACTTAATACATCATTAGATAGATTAAAATCTCCAACATGTAGCCAAATGTTAACTCGAGTTCTTAAATTTTAAGATAGGGAATATAGTAATGTTTATTAGAAGATCTTGTGTTAATGCCAAAGCCGTCCATTTCCTAATCATGTAAATGATACGTGTAAGCAACGGGATATAAATTACGCTCACTAAATAACTTTCTTAAAGATGGTGGATGCAGAAAGCTGTGTGTATCTCTATAATTGAGACTGAACTTGGCCTCTAATTTGATCAGTTGTTATGACATCATCAAAAGTTTTAGTTTTATCATCTGCCACAACGAGTTCGCTTCACAGAAAATTTCCTCGGGTTTTCCATCCTTCCGAATATACGTATTCAAGGTTCGTATGAAGGTGAAGTGATAAAAATCGTTTAATCCCAATGGCATTGCATAAAAGCCACTTGGTCTGCATTATACATAGTTTGTATAGGAGTTTTAGCATAAATAAAGTTTTTGAATGTTAGTCACAGAGCCATAGTTTCAGTTCAATAAATGAATAAAATGTGACACAGTACTTTTGATCACATAAGAATTTTTAATAAAATAATTATGTAATTTAAATTTTTGCACGGGCTTCGAAAGTAAAGAAAACAATGTTAAAAATAATTTTAATAGCTGAACTATTGAAACAAAATTTTTTTTTCGTGTAATCAAAATTGCGCGAGATGATATTAGCTTAATATTTTGGAAATCATATTCAAATACTGCTGAAAAAATTAAGCTAGTAAGTTTTCAAATGCAAATTTTGGAATGAAAAGTAAATGAAAAATATTTTATGTCAGACAAATAAGAATATGTAATTAAACGTGGGTTTCATCTCCGATTCCTGGAAACACTAAAATTTAAAAATATTTATCTAATAGTAATTCAGTTTTATATGGCCTCTCAATTAAATGTTTTTCGCAATTTCTTTTCATGAAGGGAAGCGGCTAACGCTATGTGATTTTTAAAAAGGTTTAGGACTATTTTTGTTGTTGTTGCTTATGCTCACTTGTCTGATGTAGTCAGCTCAAGGCCACGAAATTCCTCGTGGCAAGGAGCGCTAGAACACGTTGGCAACAGCCTTGAGCCCCATTCAGGGGACAGTGGGATTTAGCTCAATTCCGCCCCCAATTTTGATGGAGAGCACCTCGGGGGGGGGGCGGGTTCGACGGTCCGACTCCCATCCCTCTCTTCCCTTCCACCAAACCACACAAGAGGACTTTCGGCTCGCTGCATATTTAGAGTGCCGCTATGCCTCGCCGACACTATTCAAGTACAAACATCCATACCTTCTCCAGGATTCGAACCCGGGCTCTTCAGCACGGCAATCAGCGACGCTAACCAGTATGCCGGTTGGGTGTCAGGACCATTTTCGATGTGACCGAGTGTTTAACTCTGAAGTGGATATAGAATTTTGACATTTAAGATAATATGTTTCGTAGTCAGTTAGCCCATTATAAAAATATTGGTAAACAGCGATATCATAATAATCAACAAATATTAACTCGACTTTAAAACACGTAACCTATGAGCAAACTAAAAGAAACTTATGAGCTCAAAGCTGCCAAACCTCTGATAATAAAACCCAAGAATCAAAGTTATAAAAGCCTTGGGGTTGTGTGCGACCCTTACTCGGGTTAATAGGATGATGAGTTGCATTTCTAACTGTAACTTTCTCCGTAAAGGATATGTGAAAATTTCTGTCTGTCCATAAAGGGTAGGCCATAATGCCTCTCTTACTTAACATTTTCTTACTGAAATCACAAAATATTTATGAAATATTTAGTCATGTTGCTTTTATTTAAATATATTGCATTACGCATCTTTAATATCTGTAAAGCATTTAATTTTGCAAAGAATGGTTCGAAAGCTATGTTGCCAAGAATAACGGCGTATTATGCGTAAATTCATTTTTCGTTCAAAATATATATGTTTTAAGAATGCGATATTTGAAAAATTTATTCTTTAAATCTATGAAAATACGATGTACTTTAAGAAACATGTACTAAATAAAATCTAAATAAAGCATTAAAATCAATAAATTATTAATTTCATTTTAAAATACAAAAGTAATCATGACACTACCATTTTTTGTAAATTTCTCTTTTTACAGCAGGTTAGCTATTAATTTGAAATTAAATCAGTGAATTTAAAAACTAAGACTAAATATGTCAAATCTATATATTTTCCTTAATAAATATTTTTTGCCGTTAGATGCTGAAAGTGTAGAAAAATTCGGAAGCTAGCAAATATTTTCTTGAGTAATGTGTTAAACTAATTATTAAATTTCTAATTTTTAATTTTAATAATTAATAAAACTTTAAGATAACTCAAGCAACTGCTCTTATTTCTTGCTTTATTGATTCTTGTTTCAAAATTACAAACTTAAATTTGATTTATCGTATTAAAGTTTAGTACCGAAATAGTCATTCTAGACACGTAACAATGTCTTTCAAATTAAAGATACTGCTAAGAAACTTTGCCGTTTTTGTAGCACAAAATGTTCTTTTGCGCGCCGTAGAATCGTAGAAATCTACTAGAATCCGTTATTGTAAAATCTTCCATCTAATCGTTAACAGGTTTTGTAAGAAACAGTTTATCTTCAAAGTTGATAAACGTATGTACAGTGCAAGCAAGCATATGCTTTCATTAAATTAAACAAACATGAATACTTAGGTTAAATTTTCTATATGAAAGAATTCGGTACCGTTCTGATATTGGGATTGGATTCAGAAATATATGAATGTATGCACGTGTTTATGTATGTATGTGCATATATGTGTATATGTATACGCACATACATTCGTACCTACATACACTGGTGTGCAAAAATTAAGGACGAGACGGTTTTTTCAATATAACTTTGTACAAAAGCTTTCCAAATCAACACATTTAATACCGTAAGATCCCCAATACGTAAATACATAAGTAATGTAAGCAACACTTACTAAAAGAGAAATCAGAGGGATAAAAAGAAGCTTTATTGAAAACGTAGCATGGAGCGCATTGCGACTGAAGGCCGAAAGATCCCTGTGATAGGTGTCCAGCAAGAAACATCCGGTCTTTAATAGGGGATATGATCTCCCCTGACTGCTAAGCATGTTTCACAGCGTCTGCCCATGCTGAGAATGAGGGTGTCAATGAGTTGTCGAGGCATTGTGCCCATTCGTCTTGCAGCGCCAATCGAAGCTCCAGAATCGTTACTAGTGGTAAGGTACAAGCTGCCAAGCGTCTGCCAAGAAAATCCCATACATGCTCGATGGAATTGAGATCCGGAGATCGTGCCGGCCAATCCATACGTTCAATATCCTCACTCTCTAAGAACTGTTCGGCAGCTACTGTGCGATGACATGGTGCATTGTCGTCCATGAAAAGGAACTGCGGACCCATAGCGCCTCTAAAAAGACACACGTATGGAAGAAGAATCTCGTTGCAATAACGGGTCCCGTTGACTGAACCTGCGTCAAAGATGTGAAGGTCTGTACGACTACCAAGCATGATGCCTCCCCAAACGAGAACACCGCCACCTCCATACCTGTCCCTTTCAATGATGTTCGAGGGATGATTGTGGATTCCCCGCTCTCTCCAGATGAGTATGCGATGAGAATCGCTACTCAGACTGAATCTGCTCTCATCTGTAAAGAGTACTCGTCCCCATTCATTGTCTCTCCAATTCCGGTGTTCCGGGCACCACAGAGAACGCCTTCTCCGATGGGCAGGCGTTAGAGGTACACACCGCACAGGGCGTCGCGCAAACAGACCTGTGTCGTGTGTCTAGCGATTTCTCCCGCTGTCTGCCGCCTGTTTCTTCTGGCCTGTAAGGCAATATACCGGTCATCTGCGGGTGTGGTTCCTCGTAGACGACCACTACTAAACACCCGGATAGGTTTTCCTGTAGTTTGAAATTGTCTCCAAAGTCGTGAAACGATGCTGTGAGCAATTCCGAACTCTGCAGCCACACTTGTCACACTGCGGCCTTCCTCCAACTTCCCAATGATTCGACCTCGGGTAAAAGCATCCAGATGTCGTCTAACAGATTGATTATTCGCCATTTCTCGCTGAGGCAGCAACTCGGTGTGATTTTAACTGCTATACGACGTGCAATCTCTTTGCCAGAAATACTGATCTTACACCGACAACATGCTTTATACTACTCAGACACTCTACCGTACATCACCTTACTTAATCTCCTGATTGGTCTTTCTGTCCGCTCTGCCTCTTCGTTCAGCTGATATGCTAATTTTTCGACTTCGTCCTTAATTTTTGCACACCAGTGTATATGTAACATGCATACATGAACACATACATGCACTCATACGTGCATGCATACATTCCTAAATCCGGTCCTGATAACAGAACAATACCAAGAATTCTCTTCAAAAGTATAATGCTTAACTGGTCTGAATATATAATCATAAAATCGTTAAATCAAAGCGAGAGATACTATTTTGATGCTTCTTTTCTGTGATTCTGAACTATGAGGATGATTCAAATGAAAACCTTAAATAATTTTATATGTGATTTACTGAACAAAAGTAGAATACAAATGTAACATTTTTCGACATAGTCCCCCTGACGTTCAATACACGACCTCCGGCGCACAGGAACTGCACGGATTCATTTCGAAAGTGCGCAGCCATTCGTTCACAGCCTGTTGAACCTCTTCATCGGAAGGGAAAATGTTTTCCTGCCATCGCCTCTTTCGGTGGTCCAAATAAGCAAGAATCACTGGGGCGAGCTCTGGTGAATATGTTGGATGTGGAAGAGTATCAAAATGAAAGTCAGTGATGGTTGCAACTGTTGCACAAGCCGTATGAGATCAAACATTGTCGTGTTGCAAAATGGCACCTGTAGTCAAACTCATACACTCTTTTGATCTATCTGATAGCAAACCGAAGATAATTTTTCAGCATATCGGAATATGAAACATTGGTGATGGTGTTTCTCCTAGGCATGTAGTGTTCCAAAATAAAACCTCATTCCTCCCAAAAGAGAGTCAATAACCTTTTCTGCAGATGGTTGCGCCCAGAACTTCTTGGGTTTGTGTGATGAGGGATGGCGCCATTCGTTCCTTGCTCTCTTGATTTCGGGTTGATGGTAGCGGACCCAGGTTTGTCTTCTGTAACGATTATCTCAAGGAAGCTATTACTTTCTGCTTCAAAATGCCGTGAAAGTTCTTCGCAGTCGTTAATAGAGTGAAATGCCGTGGCACCCATCTTGCAGACACTTTGCGAAACTTAAGCATGTCATGAATAATGTGATGTGTTGAGCCATGACTAATGTTCGTAACAGGTATATTGTCCATCCCGATGGCTTCAGCTGCTGCCGTAGACTCTGGTGTCTAAACGTGATGTGACTGACCTGGGCGGGAGCATCTGCCTCAGATGTCACACCATTTCTGAAGTTCCTACTTCACTCGTACAATTTCTGCAGTGATAAACATGCCGCACCATAATGGACTTTCACTGGCTGATGGGTTTCCATAGGTTTCGTACCTTCACTGATCAGAAATGTATGACAGAACGGTGTTCTTCACTGGTCATGTCGCAAATGGGACAGCCATTTTAAACTGGTATTCTGACCACGTTTCGCTTGCCTGCGGTATATATTGTCAGCTGTTGGGCGTTTTTTAAAGCTTTGGTAACTCTACTGCCAAATTGCAGAATAATGGCGCTGGAAAGGGAGAATGTTTATTACGTTTTTAAGGTTTTTCACATGATTCCCTTTACGTAGGTATTTAAACTAGACTTGATGTTCTGTTTCCTATAAAATTTACGCTAAAGGGACAAACATTGATCACTACTCGAACTGGCTTCCGGCCAGAGTTTAGCCATTCGTAGTTTATATGTCAACTGGTAAAAAGAAAATAGTGAAAGAATATAGTGATAGTGGCGATAGGGAAATAAGTTCTGTTGAACTTACCGCATATAGCTTGGAAAATAGTTAATGATACAGAGCACTTTAATTTACAGGAAAGTTGAGGACAGGCATGACTTTCAGCAATCAGGGAGAGACAAAACTATAACAGCGTTGTATGAACAAGTTACGTTTCTGTTAATGCGTAAGCTTATATAAGAAGACATTTCATCTAAATACTATATGGCCGATTCATAACAAGCAATCAAGTTGAAAACATACATATCAATACAAAACTATACACAAAGTTAAATATGGGTAATAGCGTTGAAAAGGTCAGACACTAAAATATTTTATTCCTTAGAATCTTTTATCCACTTAATTTGTTATTAAATAATGAAAAACCTCTTATTTTTTAGCTAATCTATATACTAAAACTGATTTCATTTCAGACTGTCACAGCAAGTGAAGTAGACTATGTGGACGGACCTTTAGCTCCGCTTTACGATTTTCTCATTCAAAGGCGCCTTTTCAGGTTTTGCAAACTTCTGAGAGATGCAGGATTAGAAGATGTTCTTTTAAGTTTAGGAAGTAAGTAACTTTACAGTATTGTTTTTATAATCAAGTGTAAGTTGATTTGTTTCCATAAAATATTTTCATAAAATTATGCACGCTTCCCACTCTAGAAATTGCGTCCAAGTCTTCAAGACATGATTTAGATCTTAAGTAATTGAAATTTTAGTAATGTGCCTAGCCTTTGACTCACAGAAGATAGTGATTTTTTTCTTTTTTTTTTTTTTGCTTGCTAAGAAATGGGAAGGCATGTATACATGTCAAGTGCCTCCGCTATTGCCAAGAAGCTTGCAAGAAGCCAGAGACTATAGATCCAGGACCAATCTTTTGTTGATAAGTGGTATCGCCTGAATCGTCAGAAAGTATCCGATTAGTCAGAATATTATCGTCAGAAATACTCTAGAACCTCTATTAGTGATTGTCTTATCAGATAAACCATCTGTATAATTGTGCACAAAGTCCTCTTTTGGATACCGTTTAACGGTTATCCTTTTAACGATAACAATTAATTCCTTTCATTTGCGTGGCTCTTGTAGGCTGAGTACTGGTTTAGAGATCATAGGATTAGAGATCATAGGTTTAGAGATCATAGCCAACATTTCGTGCCAGGCTTCGAAGGAAATGTTGGCTCTTGGAAAATTTATGTGATGGAGCCGAAAACTACAATATCTTTAAAATTACATTAGAAGATAAACTTTTCAGTCTAGAACACAGCAATAAGTAGTACAATACAGTAATAAGTAATTTCAGTCTCGAAAATAGTAATAAGTGAGACAGAGCACAGTGTTTTTAATATTATATATGACTCCCTCTGTCCTATAATAATAGCAGCAAGTGAATATTAAAGCGGTAATTCTTGGAGAATGGAGTTGTACTTTATGTTTTAGCGCAAAATTGTAAAACCTTCAATTAAAATCAATGTTTCATGATATTTGTCATTCCTTTTGCACATCTTTCAACATTTAGGTTAATCTAATAATTTATTTCAGTTGAATATCAAACCATTATAAAAGTTAATATAAAAAAAGAGAGTTTTCAAGCAAAGATCGCGTTGCAATTGTGCAGTTCTTGATGCATCAAAAGAGAAACAAAAAAGTGCAATTACACTAGCTTAAAAACTATTTAAGTGAAACAGAATGACCATATCAAAATTCTGGAAACATGCTTCTGAGAATAGTAAAGGGGAATATACTAATGGTGATTCATTGAAAAGACAAAACTGTGGATGGATTATGGTGAAAAACAGACGTATTTGTTTAGCAGAAGAGGCACTGTAGCTAGCCTTTGATAATATTTCTCTTGAAATACTGGATAATACTTTTTTGTCACTTCAAAGATTTATACTGGAAACAATGAAGGACGATGGCTCCACTAGCTCCATCGCTTTAGTTAAGCTCACGCATATAGGGAAAGCAAAGCTTTACAGCCAGGGAATACAACCTACAAGTTTAAAATGCAGTAACGAAATCATTGAAAAAATCAAGCCACTATCTGAGCACTCAAATTAGAAATTAGAAGTAATATTTTTAATTTATTGTTTAATTTAATCTAGTTTTTTGATAATAAATGATTTACTCTATATTTATTTTCTTTTGCTACTATAATTATGGGACAAATTAAATTCATCAACTGCTACTATTATTATGGAGCACAGGGAATAATGCTGATAACGTCTTACTGTGCCGAGTTTATCAATTAAACTTCACGGAATTTAGATACATTATATGGATACTCTTTTCTACATAGCGTTTGCTGTTATCTGCGGTGTCATGCATCTGCGAACGAATCCTGGAATATCCTGGAAAGGATTACCCGTGAATACATTTTTTTTTATCATCTTTACATCTGTACTTGATTATTATAGCACATCCTTAATATAACTGTACGCCTAACATGTACCATAATAGTGAAAAGTGTTCCGTTTAGTCTCAGCAGTCCCCACCACGCACCTTCTTTCCATGTCCTGGTCCTTATTTCAATGTTCCTCGTTTCATGACCAATCCCCGGAGGACACATTACTAAGCTCTTTATTTATATTTATTCATGCATTTATTTTTAATTCCATCGACGGGATCCAACAGGCTGAAAAGCACCTAACCCAGTGGGTCAGCTATTCCGTTGATGGCGAAAAGAAAAGAAAGTGTAAACAAAACTACCAATGCTTACGATGAATGCATGTCAGCTTTTTAAATACAAAACTTTGTTGTGCTAAGAATGTTTATTTTTATTTTAGTTATTTAAACTAAGTCGCATTTAATCTTTTCCCTAACATATGATGTACGATATTTTTTCAAAAGAATACATTTGTAAGAAATAAAAATTTTACCAGCAAATACAAAAACACTTTTTTTGCCTTTTTAACACATAATGTATTTATTAATTAAGATTTTATCGCATGTAATAAATCTGTAGACGGTACCTTTTATAAAGCAGCTTTTATAGTTTTATTTTTCAGCATGCATACTAATGCTTCTAACGATCAGATTTCGGCATAACTTCGAAAAAAACAAGAATAAGTTTCATTGTCGTAGACATGCAACTGCGTTCAGAAGAGTTTCAATAAAATACTCACATAAATATAAAAATTTTATTAATTAGTATTAATTTTTATTTTCAAAGTAATCATAATTTTTCTTTGTTCTCACTCCACAGTTTGTGAACTTTAGCACTAGTAAAATCTCCCATTTTTTGTAGAGTACAATTAAACGTGTAATCAGATTGCGCTTTGAATTCTTTTTATATTTATATGAATTATTTTTCCTTTAATCAGTAACTAATTTTTCTTACGTTAAAATTAAACTTTTATTTATTTTTGAAGGAAATTAAAGTTTTGTAATGAAATCGTGTGTCAGATCTTAAACAGAATAACAAAGAATATTTTCAGTTTTGGTTAGGTGAGATTGTCTATTCTGACTATAAGTCTCAAACTCCTTATCCCCCCCCCAAAAAAAAAATAAGCACAAAAACATGAACAAAATATTTCCGTCATTTCAAAAGAGATTATTTTAATGCAATCCTAGCTGCATTGTATTTTACAGAACACTATGATTCTACAAAATATCCACATGGGAAATAATGCCAGGTCTTATGACATTACGGAAAATATTTTGTTTTTTGTCACATGACAATAAAGGTACCACGTAATATTACTGAACATAAGAAATATATTTTTATAAATCTAACGTAAGTAACGTATACAACATGCACACATTTCATACACTACTGTAGTTCAGAAGATGACAACGCAGTTAGTCTTAAGCGTCATGTGTACTAGAGCCATGATTTTCCCGCAGTGCGTTTGGTCATAACGTTCTCTTTCGGTATGTCAATATTTACATCCCTTCCATTCTCCGAAGGGCGTAACATATTTATCCGAGCTACTGAAACCAATTTCATTAATGGTTTAGAAACGAGGACGTTGGCAGGCTCATCAGGGTTCAATGACAAATAATACTAAGACTAATAAAAGCCGTCTTCCGTAACTTTAGCAAAAGCTTATTTTTGTCAAAGATCGTTCATAGACAGGTGAGCTTATCACCAGCGTGATTTTGTGTAATTTACAGCAATAAAAGTTATGTTGTAGTGAATTTCCATTACTTTAGGAATTAGGTGACATAGGAATAGATCTTTTAGGAATAGATCAACATCCTGATATCTTTAATGAAGTACTGATAAATAGATATTTATTCTGTTGAACAGAAAATTAGAAGCATAGGATGCAATACACTGTAGTTAAACAATTTAATGTTCATACATGAAAATGATTTTAACTATTAAAATAATTCTTTCACGACAGTTCTTATAATACACTTCTTCAAATGAAAATTATAAGTGTTATCTGGAGTAGTAGTTTATAAAATATTTTCTCCCTCCTTTTCTGCATGCCTTCGTGGTATAACGGTTGTACACTCGACGCGTATTCGAGAGGTCCATGCTCGAGTCCCGGCTAGGGCATTGCTTATTTTTCAAGTCCCCTGCTTCAAAATATGCTAATGGCGCTACAAGTTTTATAATGGAAAAATTCGCAGAACAAAAAATCATGAGGAAAAAAAAGTCCCAACTTTAGAGGTGTAGAATTTACATCGATAATTTCGCTGTCGGGTATTTTAAAAAAATTGTATTAAATGTGTCATTAATTTGCATAACTAATATAGAAATAGTAAGTATCACAATGTAGCTTAATCACAATGTGTTTTAAATTGACATTTAAAATTACAAAACACTGACATTCTAGAAGTGTGACCATCATCATTATAGTTTAGACCAAATATACTATTTAAGTAAATATGTACGGTATTTTAATGCATTACAATCATCATACACATAGCTCAAAGACAGTGTACATTATGTAACTTTTCATAAATTTAGAAAGCGATCTTTTAACTTCGACATTATTTGTGGTTACTAGCAGAGAATGAACGGTGAGTTTAGGGTCATGTTTCGCATTCAGATCTTCACTACATTTGGAATTCGGCGTAGAATATTGAGAGAAATTCAAGGCTTAAGAGTCTGGTTCAGATTCTGAAGAGTTACCCTGCAGCCTGTTTTTCTTGTAAATTCTAATTAGAATTTCGTTATTGAATATTCAATTATTGAAGACAATATTAAAATGCTAAAACGCAGAAAAAAATCTAACATTTATAAAAGAAATAAGATAAGATGGCAAAAAGCTCAAGTTCCAAGTCTTATGTGATATTTGAAAAATTTCAGAAACTCTAAAAATTAGACAAATAAATAAATAATTAATTAATTAAATTAAGGTAAATTATTGTTATAAAAGTCTACTGATTTCCAGGCCGACGGACATGGGTTGCTCTTCTTCAAATGTATCCTGAAGAAGGATCTTATATCAGTATCTCTCCAAATCTACAAATAAATACAAAATCTTCCTCAGTTTAAAGACTTCCTTCCCTCAATTTCATATTTTACTCAGGCGTGCGTATTTACCATATACAGAAATTTACCTAAATTCGCGGGCATTTGTGACATGACAAAATCATTATTTTAAAAATAATTAC